GAATTTTTATGATCCAAAGGGCTCAAAGTGCACGCATACTTCTTATATGCTCCTATAGCATAATGGGGATAACGTGCTTCTACATTACTATACTGCCTGTTTTGGAATAACAATGAGATTGACTCCCAATATAACTGATCCGGGAAGACCAATGCCTTTACAAACTCATTATATTTACGATATAACGAAAAGTCCACAATACGAACTTACATTTATTAGTCAAGCCATCTATATACCTGTCTCCATGATGGCCTATGTTGGAATTGACAATTTTCTCAGTCTTCTGATATTTCACATATGTGGTCAATTAGATATTCTTCAAAATCGTTTAACACATTTGGATAAATACAAAAATTATCACGAAGTATTAAAAGATTCCTTAGCAAAACATATTCGTTTACTTAGGTTTGTTATATACTTATAACATGTACTAAATATATACAGATATAATCCAGAAAAGTGTGATCCATATCGAACATGTAAAACATACAGAATATCTTTTTTAGAGCTATAGATGTTATAGAAGATACATATAATATAACGCTTCTTTTTTTATTTATATATTTTGCAATTCTTTTCGCTTTTTTTGGATTTCGACTGATTAGCGTAAGTATTTTAAAATTTGAATAAAAATTCAGAATATGAACTTATGAAATTAATGGGTACCATAATTTTAACATTACGGCCACGAGATTAAATTTATATAATTCATTATAATAAAATAGTGAGTTAGTTTTAAGATTAATTATTGTCTTTCTTTATTTCAAATTAATTAGCTGCTCAACGAAGGAAGTGATATGTCATTTTCTCACTTAGTATTCTTTATGTCCACTGTTTTCAATTTATTTGTACACATGTGCTTATATTGCGTTCTCGGAGAAATCTTGATGAATCAGGTTTGTTATACGTATATTTAATTTTTTATTATGAAATGTGAAACAAATATCTAATAATGATGTATAATCAATTAAAGTAATATTTTTAATTAATTACATCCTAATTGTCAAAGAATGTCACACAAATTTTGGAATTATTTTCGGTCATTGTATTTTCGGTATTGATTTTCGGTCAAATTATTTTAAATGTTAGTATTTTGTAGCTCATGCCAAATTAATTAAAAGTCTTTACGGGCACAAACCTTCAAATACCTTAGTGTTAGGACGGACAGGATAAGATACAAAGCAAGATACAAAGCAAGAACCGAGAATATAATTTCAAGAACTAGGCTATATGCATTTATTAAAGCTAAGGTACACAGCGGTAAGATAGCGCGAGGGACACATACACAAAAATGCAGTGTGTCATAAGAAATCAAAAAATAAGATGTAAATACGCGTGTCGCTAAAGGC